TTGTTCGATTCTACGGATTCCAATCTGGCAATAATTATGTCTTTTCGGGAATCTGAAGCAGTTTCTGCGTCGAATAAGATTATTTGTGAATTCCCGAGATTCCAGCGAGCGCGAATTGAAATGTGAAGCGAAGTGATTATGATAATTGTGAAAGAGAACGTATTACTTTGATCTCCAATTTATAGTCTTATCTATGATAAAATCGAGGAAAAACAAAGATAATCGCTATATGTTTCCACAGATATATCTCATAGTATCTCTCATGAAATTACAAAAAGCGATTCGATCAAAAGTTATTTTGCATGCATTAGTATAATTCGATTTATCATCGGTCGCTATACGGACTGAACTCCTTTAAATCTGGTGACACGGCGCGAAATATTTACTGCCGACGTTGATGTATTTGCACTGCAAATATCTCGTAGTAACGTAACTTATGTTAGAGAAAAGTCAGCGTAGAAAATACGTACCTACGGCACATTTTAGAACGCCTACTGAATCCATCATACTACATATTTTCATAAAAATAACGAAATGAGACTTCCGCGAGGCGAGCGCGGCTCACATTTTCAAATTGACAGTTTTATTACAGGAACTATAATATAGTGTACCGTAACCCAATAATGGATGATATAAGACTGTAATGACGGAGGTTTCTCTCTCAATTGCGAACGGTGAATCATTAACAATATTGCCGACGGCGTAATGCAAGCGGCTCTTAACCGATGAAAAGTTTCAAAATTTTCTTTCGTCAGATCGGATATATAGGTATATGATACTATCCTTCATTCCGGAAATTGTTCTACCTTCATGGACACACACACTCGCGTCATCATCGTGCATAATTCGCCGCTCGAACTACTTTCTATGCCGGGTACAAGACAAAGAAACTGTTCCATTATTCTGTCTTTCCTGTTAAATTTGCCTGTGTCTTTTTTAAATTCTTATTTTAGAAATAATGCAAATTTTGCTGAAAGAAATTTAAAGTACATTTTACAGTTGTACTCCGTAAGATTCCATAATACTCCGCTGTCTTACTTTTTATCTTAAATGGACATCTTAATTTAAAAAGAAAGTCAAATTTGAATTAAAAAGCCTTTAAAAGACAATGCAGTCTTTTATCTTAAACGGACATCTTAGTTTAAAAGAAAAGCCAGAATATTTATTACGATATGTTTTGATCATTGTTGGTGTTTTTATTTCCAGTCTATGTGAATGGAGATATTTATGAGCTGTTCGCATTTCGAGAACTATTTTCATCAACGTGGTTCAAGCTTCTGTTTACTCGTTACTATATCTGCTTATAATGACGTCAGAGAAGAAAATATACAATAAAAATTTTCTTGCAAAATATATTAATATGGAAATATATTTCAATAAAACAACACTTTGCAATCAATAGAACCGACTCGTAAAATATACCAAAATCTCTTTTTTTTTTTGTTTCGTTAATGAATAACCATATCTGGAAATGAATTATGTATAACCAAATGAAATAAGCTATATTCTGCATAGCTGCGACAAACTATCAAATTAATAATATATAAAAATAAACATGATTTAATTTCTGCCTGAAATATAAAGATAGTTTTCAGTTATATTTTATACATAAGTCTATTCTATTAAGTACAAATGTTGTTTTATTAAAAAAACATTTCTATTCAAATGTAATTTGCAAGAATTTTTGTTGTGTGTCTCCTCGCTTCTGACGTCACAATCTGAGATAGTAGTGGTGAATGAACAAGAGTCTTAAACAAGTTGCTAACTATTTACCGCGGAATTCTACGGCAAGAGATAGGGATTTTGAGATAGTGCGTGACCCGCATCCACAAATATTTGTTCCTTACAACACACAGCTTGCTATTAAATTTAAATTAATTCCTAAAGATCCACCGCACGTATTTTCGCGATTATAAATCAGGTTTACATTGTGATCGTGCGGGTGAAAGTACACATGGATAATTTAGTATTCCGCGTACGGTATCGTTTCCCTAGATTTTCTCAGGAAGATAGAATTCACAAAAAGCTATGCGGGAATAATCAATTCTTCTCGCCGGCATCTTCTTTTTTTCGTTAGATCCGAGATTTTTATGAAGCTATTGTGAAGAACACACGATGTTCAATGGAAATAATGCTAGTTAATTAACATCTAGATATAGATACACTATGAAATGTGTAACGAGCTAGACGATAAAAAAGAGATCAAATCGTCTAAAATTAGAGTCTTGAGTATGCCATTTTCTGCGCTCGCAGAATAGAGGAAAGACTGAAAAGAAGCGTTATCTGGCGTTATCCATATGCGCCTTGCTCCATATATAATTATCGTCTAATTTCATTAGCCTGCGTACGATGTGTCTCGTAAAATCGTCCGAGCAGCCACATTTCCTAATGCGCGATTGCATTATGCACTTTCTTTTTCCTAGAGAAACGACCGAAATACGCTCGTTAGAAGAAGAACGCAACCCGCTTTCTAGATCAAATGCGCCAAGTGCGTCGATCAGAAATTCTCGCTGTGCACACAATGTCGAAAGTATTAAAAACTCTTGCATTTTATATTAGAAAAAGTCAAACAAGAAAGAAAACTTTGTTATATATATCACTATTTTAATGAACGTGATAGTAAGAGAAACATATTATAAATAGATACCGTGGATGCTGTGAACGAGTTAAACCTACTTTTACATCGATCAAATCGCTTCTAAAACATTGCACTGTAAAATCGCGGGTTTGAAACATTCATTACTACTGGAAATGAGAAAATTTTTTTTCTTCGATCCAAGAACGTCGCCTGCATAATAATGCACGGTGCAACTTCTTCGGTACTGTCTTCCGACAACATTACTTACACGCGAAAACCTAATTTTCCGGATCACCGAGACATCCACCTCGTATCATGGGTGTCTTCGATACGATGAAATGCGCAACGGAAATGCAGCACGAAAGAGAGAAATTCCCTCGAAGTCAAATCCGATTTCCGACCCAATTTTCAGGCCGAGGGATGGTGCTCCTAGAGCGCTTAACATGCGTATAATGCAAACGCTTTCTTCTTTCTTTCACCGAGAAAGAGCTCGGCGCGGCGAGAAGTATTTCGAGGAATAGGAGGTCGGCTGCCTCGCGAAGGCAGCCGATTCGCGAGTTTAAGGTCAATCTCGAAAGCGGGAACGAACGATCGTGCGCGAAGCCTTTCCATCTTATTATACGATCAATCCCTTCTATGCAACGCGCGCATCATTCCTTCGCGTTAGACTTTTTCGCGAAATCTCTTCTGTGCGTTTCTATTCCCAGATTCAATAAGATTCGCGAAGTTGCAAGTCTTTCACGGAGAATCGTGAATTATATGTCAATAAGAAAAATTGAGATTTAAAAAAATTTTATTCCTCTTTGGACATATTTGAGGATATGCAGGATTTGTTAGAATCGATATTTTAACAATATATAAAAGATTAATCACAAAAATATAACTTTGCTTCTAACTTTCAATAATCTTTTTTTACCTAATAAAATATTTTTTTCTCTCCGTTACGACCATATAAGTAATTTCTACAACTTCGTTAATTAGAACTTTGACAGAATGTCACATTTATAATAATTAGCAATTTTCTTATACAGGAGACTTTTCTGCGCTCTTCTCTGAACTTTTTTTTTAATTTCTTTTCTTAAGAAAATAATCATGAATATCTTGTATATAATAACAATAGCAGTATTAAAGCATTATATACATTTCATATTTAATAATCGTACTTTGCCTACTTTCTTCAGAAAAAAATAAACGATGATTTTTTTTCAAACTTAATATTTTTCCCATTCAAAATAAAGAATGAGAAGGAGATTATAAGCTATAAAATATCCAAAACAGCAATTTATTAACATACAAAAACGCTATTTATGTGATAAAGGAATCGTTACTCCCTTCTCTGAAAAATCTTGAATACGCATTCGTATAGTACGCGTATCATTGATAAATGGAAATATCTTACAACTGAATGTTTGATCTAATGAAATTCGATTACTTTACGCGCGATAAGTATAATGTAAGGAGCATGATAAATATTGAGAGGACAGACGAGCGATTAATCGCCACGAAATCAGATGATATCTAATTAAAAGTTCAGAATCTCTTTAGATTAATATATGTACTCTCGTGCAAGAATAGCTGCAAGGTAAGTTCTACCTTCTAATGGCTCTATGAATATATATAGAGCGAGAGGCTCTATGAATTATAATGAAATTCGTTCCAACGTTTTACGAGAACGAAAATTTGTCACTGGCTGACTGAAAGCGTGTACGCGCTATTATTCATTTGATCGCGTTAATATTCTTCAGCATGTTGCGCCGTTTTTTTAACATAGATTTCTGCGATAATATCTCGCTATTCAAAATAAAATCGAACTCACAACTAGCTTCGATGGAATTTTATACGGAAAAAGATTTGTGATTTTTTACCCTATGCAAAATCCGCAAAAGATTCGTCACTCGACTTTGACTCAAAAAGAGGAGAGGTATGAATAATGTAAAAATGTGTAAGACAACAAGATTTGTGACTCGATTTTGGTTCAAAAATAGGAAAACGTAGACATTTGGATAATGTAAAAATGTGAGACAGCAAGATACGATTTTAATTTTTTTTTTTCAGAAATATTTAAAAATATCGAAATCAGCTGACGATTTATAAATCGCTTTTATTATTCTTTATCGTTATTATAGATTGAAAGTATATAATGAGCATCTTGTATATCGTTTTTAGAAGAATATCTGACAAGCCCCTTTGCAAAAAAATCTATATAAAATTCATGAAATCAAACTTCTAATTTTACAGATCATGCATGAAATAAAATAAAATTCCCGAATTTTGTGTCACAAAAATTTTTCCAAAACAATCGGCAATTAATTCTTATTGTATTCGTCATTATTTTTAGTTTCTCAGAAACGGGACTTTTATACTTTCAATTTCTTTGAGTGTCTAACATGTTCCGTTATGATCGCCGTTCATTCATACTCACAGGGTGCCTTCAGCTTCTCCTTTGCCAACTGTATTGCACCATTGGACCTGAATGTGATGCCGATACTTTTGGACTTTCCAACAGAGTTTTCCATGACATCCTGTGGCGATATTATCGAGATACCATTTTGCTCCATGGTGCAATTAGACGATTACTAAAAATAGAGCATAATAATGTTATAATTTTGGAGCCAACGCAAAATATTGACGCCACGATATTATCTTATCTACAATATGATAATAAATTGTAAAAATCTCTTGAGTCCGTTGTACTCTTATTTGAAGAAACTGCGATCAGAAAACGATAAAAATGACAGATGCAAATAATTTTGTAAATATATGCATTTCTTTGGTTATCTTTTTATCAACAAGCTACTGTTATACTATGCGCTTTAAAATTAACTTTTGCCTGATCTGATAAATTCTAGTGTAACTGTAGCAAACTATGATAAAATTCTAGAAAATTTAAAATCCAATTAAATCCTAGTGGAATCTTCGTTAATTTTGCTAATATTCGCGAAATCCATTCGTTAACTTTAGCTCTTGTTTCTTATAATTTGATAAAATAAAAAGGTCGACTTTTCATTGACTGACTTCTCAGCATTAGAATATCTGTTACCTGTATCACCTTGCATATGCAGGCAATCGATAATAGTGCAAATATCGTTATCTGAACCTGATACGATTTGTCGGAATTATATTTTGAGATTAAATAACCGAGGTATGTCACCGTGCTAATAACAAAAACGCAAGATATGAATAATTAATTAAATTCGCCAAGGTATTAGTCGAAATACGACGCTTTACCCATAATTGATTAAATCGCTTGTCTCACGATTGCAAAACACAATCGTACTCATATTCGTATCCGTTATTCAGCACGCATGTAAACTATGATTAACCGTCGATCGATTATGGCTTATCGCGTCTTTGCGTGAAATATATTACTGTACTGACAATAAGTATTTTAACTCATACAACTCACACGCGCGAATATATAAACCTGACAAATTATTACGAATATTAAGCAACAAAAATGAAAAAAAATCTATTAATTAATCTTGTTTAATGCTTTTTTTAATCTCATTTTATTACATTCAAATTTCGCACAATCTTTTGATGTTTTCAATTTATATATGTATAATTTCCGATGTCAAAAAAAATGCATTTTTGTGGTGCCTATAATTTACATACTTTTTTTATTATAAATGTTATCAATTCTAAAGGAATATTGTATCTATCATAAAAGGATTGACAGCTTTTAGCTAATTTAGCTTTTAATTAATTAAGTTAAATTCGATGCGCTTTCAAAGATCTTTCGATAATGGATTGAGTTCAGAACTTTCGATAACTATCAATTTACATATCGACGTCATATCACTTTAATTTACACTTTTTTGCATGATCTACAGAGTGATTCATTTTAATGTTAACAGGCAAATATCTTGAAAATATGTAATTTGACCAAAAAACATTCCAAATAAAAATTATATGATATAGAGAGGGATGTACAATGAGATAATATTCCCCTCTATACCATACAACTTTTATTTGAAATGTTTTTTGATAAAATTGCATTTTTTTTCGAAATGCCTGTTAATTAAAACGAATCACCCTGTATATTATATACATTTTTACATATTTATTTACATAAATGTGATAATAGACGCATCGCTATTTGCAAAATTGAAATATCACAAGTTATTGGCACTAATGCCAACTCACAACGAAAGAAACAAAACAGGCGATCGAATTAAATAATGTTTCAAAGTACGTTTTTGTTTTAATTGGTAACGCATTAGTACGATATGCTTATCGATCGTACAAAAGTCAAGAAAGTTTTCATTTACAACAATTTTATGAAAAACAGCCATCAGAGGATGGAAGAACTAAAGAAGAGATTGTTGATTCTTTTAATTTTTTGTTCTACTTACCCCGAAGAAGAACTCACAGCTGCAACGTTGCACACAGATATTGCACAAAGTCCGTTTTCGTTGTATTTCCGTATATCGAAAATGCCACTCGTTAAAAATTCGTAAAAATTCGCGAATATGATCGGCACAAAGGAAGATGAACCCGCAGTTATTATTGCTTATCCCAAGAATTGTCTTTTGCCGCGTGGTTTCGAGAGGACTGAATCGTTTCGCGAGTTGCGCTCACCTCTATATGAAGAAACCCTCCACTGTGCGCCAACGGTCGGTTGGCCGTCACTCTCCCGTTACACGACAGTTCCGTGTATACATGGTCACGCGAATCATACGTTTCTGCCAAATTATTAAGACGCCACACGCGCGGACGACTTCGTTTCCGCATCAAAAATATTTATGTCGTCGTCGATATATCATAATATCACGTATGTATATATACGGCAGTGTCGCTGCACTTGGCTTAGCGCCGAGACACTATCGTGTCTCCAGATATATATATATATATATATATATAAAATATACATTTCGCTGATTGACAACTTTGATATGTCACGATTTTTTGAATATCTCACTGAACATTATCAAATAATAACATGGACAAATAATTTGTCTTAAATGGATGCAAAAGGAAAAGGTACTTTGCAAATTAAAATTTAAAAGCGCAATATTAGATAAAAAAACATCTATTAATATTAATTATAGGTACAATTATTTTTTTAATAATCACTCAAAAAAATATGACATATAAATTAAAAATTATATTATATACAGAAGAAATTATTAATTAAATTTTGATGAAAAATATCTCTTACATACGTGTGTGCTTGAAAGCAATAATTTTCTATATTTTAATAACGTTGCCAAGAAATCTAGTCAAAACTTCTCACTGAATATGGAGTAAATTTTAATTTAGAAATACAATATGTTATTGACTAAATTGCTTTTGTCAAAACCTCTCATCGAATAAATTTTAACTTAGTTATCACACATTGTTTTGATCAAATTATTCTTATTACCTTACAATCGTGATATGATTTCTATATCTTTATAAATATATGATTAATATTCCTTGTCACATTTTTAATTCTTTACGGTCTGCCAACGGCACAATGCCATCGCGAATTTCAACGTTTTAGTCCACGGACGGCTTTAATCTCGTCACATAAGAAGTCAATCTTATCAATAAAATAAATATATACAACTTATTACATACATTGTTATGGATTTGAAGATAAAAATTATTAATAAAAACAAAAAATAGTTTAATAAGTACTCTTATATCGGCATGTATTTATGGTAAAAAAATATAACAGCTCAATTTTTACAGGGTGGGGCAGTAACTCTGTCCACTTAGAATATTTTCGTTATCTTTTTATAATCGTACCTTAATACGGAATAATGAAATGAATCAATTAATGGAAAGAAAACACAGTTGCTTATTTAAAAAATTATCCTTTTTGCATATATATACATATTTTTTTTAAAGCAACTATGTATTTTCTTTCCACCAATTGATTCATCTCATTATTCTGTTTATAAAAGTATTAAGGTGCGAGAGAGATTATAAAAAAAATTAATAGTTTACGAATTATTTATAATATTTTATGTCAATATATTTTATACTAGAATTAATAAAATTTCGTAAACTATTGGTTTTTGAATATCACTACCTTAATACGTTTATATGTAGGATAATTAAAGGAATCGTATTGTGTAAAAAAAATCATACAATTTCATTTAAGAAAGTGGAGGTGACCTTGAAGTCTTCGAAGCGCCTCCACCCAAAAAAAAACTATTAGTACATTGTACTCTTCTTGATGCTATACAACTTCAATAAATATATTATTTCATATCTCTAAAAATAACGGAAATAGGTATTCTAAGTGGAGTTACTGCCCCACCCTGTATAACTGCCATGTTTGCTTTAGCCAAATAGCAATAGTGACCACTCACACACTCTGTAAGTTTCTGTCTATTTTTATCACTCATTACTTGCGAAAAAAGAATAAAATAAAACACACCAACTACGCAGCTAGTATAAATACATAGATCGCAAAGTGTTGATACATAATATAGAATGTAAATAATTTTCTCCAAAAAACTGAAAGAGATCGCTTCATATTATAGGTACATTATACTGTATATTATGAAATATTGTATAATTTTAGTCGCATTCTAAACATTTTCTCTTTCAGATTTTTTTCACATTTATATTTAACATTTATTCTAAAAATGACTTAAAAAGTAGATTGTAGCTCATTTTGGAATTTTTACGTCAAAAATTGTAGAATTATCCTAAAATTTCTATTTTCTTTATTTTATCTATTAATACGTTTTTATTGCGTAATAAAATTGCGGACAATTAATGACATCAGGACCATTGAAATGAATTGTCTCAAACGATAACAAAAATACGTATTTTCATTAGCCTACTGCGGAATCATTTTATCAATTATGAGAAAGATAAATTAAATCAGTATCAATTTTGTTATTGATTATAAAATAATCGATCAATTGATAAATTATAATACGAGATATATCAAGTTATTTTGCTGTCAACACTGTTTATCGCGAGAACTAATATTAAAAATTAGAACAGTAAAAATGTTTATAATTTAATCCGACATTAATATAAGCAATCAAGAGATTTATCAGATAATCAACTTATCGCGATTAAACGATTTAAGAAGAGTTCAACTTATTAGGTAATAATTAAATAAACATTAAATACAATGAAAACATTTCTGTTTGTTTTTTTGTTTTTTAATTTTTTGGTTATTATCTCTGAAATAATAATAGTAATTTTTAATATTTGAAAAGTTAAACTAATCAAATTAATCATATAGACAAATATATATATGTTTGAATATATAAGTATATATACAAAGTTATCTATTGTCAAGAAATACTTAAGTAAATACTCATCACAATTATTTCTATTTTAAAGTTATGATCGAAATATTGATTTCTGCGAAGAATGTATGGGGAGGATCCCGTTTATCTACAAATCAATTACCTACAGTATCTACCGTTTGTCTACATCATTTTTGCCGACAGTTTGTTTGCACACAAAAATTATTGCCTATAGCTCGATTGCCTACATGGCTCTTTTACGCATAAATAAAAATTTTAGAAACGCGAAGTTACATTTGCCTACATGTATTATTTCCTCATGTATTATGTCTACAAATATTATTGCCTACAGTTCGATTGCCTACATGTACTATAATTCTCTGCTTTAAAAACACGAATTCTCTATTTTAAAACAAATTCTCTGTTTTAAAACACAAATTCTCTGCTTTAAAAGTACAAATTATTTTCTTACTTAACTTAATCTTATTTTTATAATAATATCATTTTTAGACGTATGTGAGAGACATAACCGATAAAATAAGAGCTCTATACGGTCGAAGCTAGATCTTAAAATGCTTTAAATAATTCAATCTTGAATTCACTCACTAAATATGATATATGTACTTGACATATATACCACAATTGTAGTCTAACGAACTGTGCACCGAAATATTTCCGGACTAAACACAATTAAACCACTATAGTAAATTTCGCGAATTAAGCTCGAATTTCGCGAATTAACCACCGAGCCTCGGTCTAATGGCTCAGGACGCTCGTACGGAATACAAAAGATCCGGGTTCGACTCCCGGCCGAGGTAATATTTTTCGCAATAAGTTTAATTACAATTTTTCAACATATTAATATCTTTGCAATATGATGCCTGATTGAACATCGAAATTATTAAAATTTAATTTAATTCGCGAAATTTACTGTAATGGTTTAATTGTGTTTAGTCTGGAAATATTTCGGTGCACAGTTCGTTAGACTACAATTGTGGTATACCAGTCAAGTACATATATATCATATTTAGTGATTCAAGATTGAATTATTTAAAGCATTTTAAGTTCTAGCTTCGATCGTATAGGGCTCTTATTTTATTGGTCTTATTTTTATATTTGTGTGCAAAAGTGCTTGTAGGCAATCGAGCTGTAGGCAATAATATATGTATGCAAATATGATTTCGTCTCTGAAAATTTTTTTTATGCACAAAAGTACTGTAAGCAATCAATTTATAGGCAAAAGGAGCCATTTCAAATGTCTAAAGAATTATTAGCGTTTCGTTAGTTACACGTGTAATAACGAATACAAATTAAAGTTATATACTAAAGCGGTACTATTAGTTTCATCTTATCAGGAATCATAATTATTTTGTGTAGGATAGATCATTTTTTTAATTATTTTGGTATTTTTTGTAAATATCTAATTATAGACATTGTCTCTTATATATTATCGCAATTTGTCTTTAATCGATCAATTATCATTATTGCTCCTTTATTGATGTCTTAAAAAGAATGAAAATTATATTGTACAAACTAAATATTTCAGTGACAGCTTTATGATAGAGAAGTCAGTGAGATTTCTCATGGCTACGATAATATTAAGTAATCGATCCAACGCTTACCAACAGCTACATTATTAACTAACCGCATTTTGCACAACATTGCCGTGCCGGGTTGATGACTTCGACGGTATCTATTTGAACATAGGAAGATACTTCTTCTTCCTTTTGCAAAACGAAGAAGTAAAAATTATATGTTTTACAGTTATTTGCTATTAAATGTAATTTTTTTTATTCAATTGTATTAATTATAATTACGAAATTAATTAATTTCTTTCTATTTCACAATCGTTATTACAATATTACAATATTTCTCACATCGTTTCAAGTATTTATTATTCTATATCTATTATTATCCTATCTTGGAAATTAATATTTTCTCGATGTATTACATTATGTATATTCATAATGAATCTATTATTTGATAATATCTTCAGTGATGTTTTTCAGTGATATTAGTCGACCGAGCAAGTGAGAGATTTATTGGTTGTCGCAATAGTAATTACGCTGGAAAGACTAAGACAGATTGGGATCTCAACGTTATAGTCTATTTGTCACATTAAATCCAGAAGTAAACTGGTTCACTGTCAGGTAGCTGTATTACAGAGAGAAAGGAATATCTTCCTACAACCGTAATAACCGAACTCCGAAGCTATCAGGAATATGAAAGAAGAGCATATAGGAACAGATATATGAGGAAAAATGTATGGATTTGACTAATTTATAGCGTTTTATGGAAATGTGTGAAAAAATTTTTAATTAAAAATAATTTAAAAATAATTTAAAAGTAATTATAAACAACGAGATAACAGTAAGAATGAGATAATGAAAATGAGTCAGCTTTATCGTGTCA